GTGACCATGTGCACTTTAATTCTCAAGTACGTGCATTATCAAATCCTGCTCTCTCAATTTGTTGACGACAGTCATACTCTGTCATGGATGCACGCTGCCGCACATTCACAGGGCGTGGACCACTGTCAGCGGAGCAGCCAGGCAGCAGATTAAACATAGCCTGATGGACGTCACAATACACTACATGCATCACAGTCTTAATACTGTGCTGCCACTTGCACACATGCCATTCTGTGCATATATCGACAGATATGGTTTACAGCATGTAATAATAACAGTAATAGGTTCCTTATGGAGAGATCCTGCAGCTCGGTTAGTCCACAGTGAGGGATGTTGAAGGGCTGAAGGCTTGTGTAGCAACGTGACATGTCAGAGAAATGCTCTGTTTCACCCAGAGAATGCTGGGAGAAGCGGGCAGTTTGGTTTTGTCGCAGAATAGCTGATATCCACAAAAGCAGCTGAAACTTTGTGAATTTAAAATCTCATATATCTTGTAATGTTTGAAACAGTTTATCCAGATTATCTGAACCAGCGAGTGCACCCGAAATGTTGGTAGTAACCCCACACTGAACATAAAAACTGGGAGAAAACACAACTACAGTGAGTACAGAAGGTCAAAGCTGGGTAATAATTTTGCAGTTGCCTTTCAGATAAATTAACCTGGGTTTATTTACAACCACTCTGATCACGAGTGCTCGTGTTTCTTGACCTGTCGCACTTGGTTTGATCGTATTAGCAACAGGATGGCACAAAGTATGCAAATAAGATCCAAGTTTTAATGAAACAGATTTACCCTTTAAGAAAGATCTCATTAATTTTCAACATTCAACAGTTTTGCCTCATACACTTGGCACTCGTTCAGCTTCTTTAACATGACACTAGCTCCCCTTAACCCTTTTAATATTGGAGCTGGTGCAATAGAGTTTCAGTGCCAATACCAAAACATTTTGGTTTCTTGTACATGTACACTACTCACAAAAAGTTAGGGATATTCCACTTTCGGGTGAAATTTATGGAAAATGTAAAAAGTTGATGCTACAGTGATATTATATCATGAAAGTAGGGCATTTAAGTAGACGGTCAAATTAAGATCACCTGGAAAGGTTATAGTGCATTTTATGTACATTCTGAAATTTCATCCGAAAGCCGAATATCCCTAACTTTTTGTGAGTAGTGTATTTTAATCTAAATATTTTTTTCTACCATGTTGGTTGCAGTCCCTCATTCATTCATTCATTCATTCATTCATTCATTCATTCATGTGTGCTGCGATTTGGTTTTCCTTTTCCCCATTTCATCTTGGCTCTTTGTAAACATTCCTCTGGGTTGATGAGAGGATCATTCAGATCACCTGTTGCACAGGCTGTGGGGACTGACTGCTCAGCAATGATGGAGAACAGCTTGGTGGTTCCCCTCTCGGCCAATCAGGATGTGACTGTTCTTGAAGGAATAGAGAGAGGTGGGGAACTGCTCACCCAATGACCTTCTGATCCTTCCTCTGTTTGGTGCAGAACTCACACTATGAGACATAGGCAGCCTGAAACTTCAGGACCCACTGAGAGTTCTTGGCCAGGGCAGTCTGTGGGGTAATTTGTGCAAGTGTGAGTTTCCTCACAATAATCGGCGGCCCACAGGCTTACTTATTTATGTTTATTATCTATTATCTTTATATGTTTTTATTAAACCCCCATACCCATTTGTGAAGGTGTTTTTTCATTTTTTAATTATTATTATGCACATGGGAACTGATTCTCAGGCTCCTTTTCCTTGAGTTGAGGCCTGGGGAGTCCCGTCACAGTGTAACAGAACAAGCTAAACTGCTCAGACAGTGTGTAAAGATTATTAACACAGGGGTGGGGGGCCAAGGCCAAAAGGAAGCACAGACTGGATTGTATGGGATTGTATAGATGCAAAATGGAGCTAGGATTCCACGTTCCATTGATTCACTGACTTCCTCCCCATTGTGCTCACATTATAAAAAATAATTCATAACTAGGGATCCCTCATGTTTAAAAATATATATATATATATATATTTATTTTTTTATGTATTATATAATATTTAAAATATATATTATTTCCACTAGAAACATCTGGTGGGCCAGTTTTGGCCCCACCCTGTCTTCTCACAAGCAGACATACAAGAGACACGCCAAAATAAAATTCTAAATTGATTTTTTAAAAAGTAACTAACATCAGGAGGTATCTGATCAAAGAAAATGCTAACAAGACCTGACATGCAACAGCAACGTTAGGTGCTTCTGTTTTCAAATACTGATGCTGCAGACAGATTTCATTTGGTACTCAGTATTTAGGTTTGATTCCCAGCCTTATAATGAGGGAGTTTTGTTTCCGTCAGAAGACAAATTGTGCTTGTGGACATTTGGCACACACAGCTCTGTTGTTCAGTTTGTTGTTTAAAACAGATCACCTGATGGCAACACTCTCTCTCTCTCTCTCTCTCTCTCTCTCTCTCTGTGTCTGTGTCTCTCTCCCTGCAGAGCTGCAGAGGGAGGGCAGCATCGAGACCCTCAGCAACAGCTCGGGTTCCACCAGCGGCAGCATCCCACGCAACTTCGAGGGCTATCGCTCCCCCCTGCCCACCAACGAGAGCCAGCCACTAAGCCTCTTCCCTACCAACTTCCCCTAGAGCCCCACCTCTCCTCCAGGAGCAGCCGCCACCGTCCAGCCCACTTGCCCCACCTGACCCCCATATATCTGTCCACGCAGCATCACACTCACAGACTGATGTGTTGAGCTGAAACCAAATCATGTCCAGGATTTGTGTTTCTCTGTGCAGTGTTGCTGTTGTTGTTTTTTTCTGTTCTCATACAGCTGGGCACCAATCAGCGTGATCACAGCTACATATACATTTTATTTCTTGGTTTGGATTTGAAGGCTGATATGTTTTTTAAATGAAGCTGCCAGTGGCACTTTTGCCAATGGCAGCTTCATTAAGAGATTGAGATTTCCAATTATTTTTAATTTGACCATTCTAATGCCAATATTGCTAAAAAAAAACGAAATTAATATAGTGTTTATCCTCCAACTCCATTCATATCAGGGTGAAAACATCTAGACAAAGTTATTGTAGCCTTTTAAAAACTAATTTCTGAGTGTTGCTGAGCAATTAACCAAATCTAAAGTGTAGAAATATTTCATCAAAGCAGAGTATTTTGATACAGCGTGTGGTCGGGGAGGAACCTCCTTTATTTTCAATATCAGATTAGAGAAGAAGAGACCCAGTTCCAGGCCAGCATATCCATCCAACTCTGCCTGTTACCTTGTCGTCGCTTTGAATCAGACACAGACGTCGGAGAACCAGCCGTCCTGTCCTCTCTGCGGCCGATGTCTGCTGTTTCCTCCGCCCGCCATCATTCTCTGAGTGTGTTTGAAGTTTTACGGGGTCCCTGTTGTCTGAATGAGCCATAAGAAAGGGGGAGAATGGGGGAAAAATGTTTATTCCAGTCAGTGACGTGTAGCAGCTCCTTTCCCCTCTGTGAGTGTGAATGTGAGTGTGTGTGTGTGTGTGTGTGTGTGTGTGTGTGTGTGTGTGTGTGTGTGTGTGTGTGTGTGTGGCTGCTCTCATGGCCTCTTGCTAAATGTTTTTGATTAAATTTGCTCCTCTCATGCCTTTGATTTTCATGTAATTACATTTGACAAAAGATGCAGTAATGAGATGACACTATTACTATGTTGCTGAAGTAATTTAGATGTTTACGGTATAATTGAGATATGTTTCTGACATCATTTAGATATATTCCCCCACTCGGCCTTTCCAGAGAGTAAACTTTAATTGAGCGGAGTAATAGCCGTCATGCTGTATTTTGTACATTAGCCACTTTTGACCAAAATCTTTTTTTTCCCTCCTGCCTCTAGTTATAGATCTCTAAAAAATGTATTTTCCTTAAATGTAGTAGCTAAGATTGACTTTGATAATCAGAAATTCCTTTATTAAACACACTTTGCCTGTTAGATTGTCCGAAGCAGAATGTTTGACTTCTGAAATGCACTTCCAGAGTCACCTTTAGAGATTAAATGATAATAGTACAATCCCACAATGTGTGAGTGTTGTTGGACTGGCTGCATGAAGGCCTGCTGTTGCTCGGTCACTGAATGAGGGCATGAATCCACTCATTTTAATTCAGAGAGAATGTTGCCAGTAATGTTCGATTTGTAAAATACTGACTTATTTCCCAGCATTCATGCAAGAAAAACCATAATAAAAACTTGAGGAAATGAAACTGTGTCTTTTTTTCTCACTCTGATTGCTCCTAATTGTGCCGTTCAGATTTCCACCACGGCGGTGACCATCAGCACAAAGTACCACTGGTAATTAGTACCATATTTTTTAACAGGCAGTAAAGTGTTGTTAAAGGGACTTTTTATGGCCGACTCTGGCTCTTTGTTCTGAGAGCGGAGAGACGAGAGGGCATGTTTGTTTCTCTGCTAATCAGCACAAAACTCTAAGTCCCAAAACTCTTACACAAAGATTTTTTTTAACAAAGTAAAACATTGGACTCAAACCATTCTAACTAATTCAAATGAAATTAGATTAGCGCCGGATTATTCCTTGTAGGCTTTATTTCATCTCATCGATGTGCTCAAGCGCTACTAGTCATAAAATTAAAAAGGGGTCTTTGCCCAGCTACGGTGGAACACATCCAAACTTGAAGAGATGGCCAGAAAACTTTTGCACAGACAATTAAATTCATAACTTATAACAACTTCAGCGCCTGAAACGCTTTTAAATTAAAAACAGTATGCCTGTATTTCCAGTCCTGTATATTAGAAAATAAAATCTGTTACAGTACGAGTTGGACAACAGAAAGAACACATAAAAAAACCAAGACCATTACAAAATGTGTTTATTTAGGTTTATATGCAAGACTCCCTTATGAATAAAGCTGAAATAAGCTCCAGCTGGCAGGATGTGTCTCTACCACTTTATTCAGAGGAAAAGTTCAGAATTATGCAACAAGTATGAGAGGAAAACTACAGTTTTTACTTGAAACTTTTTATTTGATTCCAACATTTCATTACAAACATTTATTATTCACACAAATTCTAATTCATCAGAGCCACTTTTGAAGCATTTAAAGAAATATATGATAAACAACAAAACGGTTTGTATTTAACAAGAACCGACACATCATGTCAGTGTGAAACAGATTTGTGCACTTAGTTGTGTATTCATTTTGAGAAGAAATTCTAAAATAGCGAGCTTTAAACGTCGCAGGACTGTATTCTAGCGCAAAACATTGTGTGTCCTGTTAAAAGTTAGCACAACTCACTGATTAAAGTCACTCTGGGTGTAAATGGAGCAAACTCTAAAGTCTCCAGGTCCTCAACGTCCTGCTAGGAGGAAGCTGTTGGTGTTGAGTCCCAGCTTGAGAAACTCAGTAGTGGAGTGGTGGCTGAAGAAATGGGTATACTGTTTATTAATGCCCCATCCAGCAAAGGGTAAATGCCCTACTCTTGCCTATTTAGCTCACCAAAAATGGGCCAGTAGTATTTGCACACTGTCACTTAAATGCTGCTGCTTTACCTCCGGCAGTAAGCATCAATACTGGCACACACACTATAAAGTGAGACAGCTACATAATTCCTTATTCTATACTCCAGCCAATCATGTATTGCCATGCCTTTACCATCCTAGGGGGAAAAATCAATCGGCAAAACTGAAATATAAGTGGTTATACTCCATATACCTGTGTACACCGTGCACCAGTGGAGACACTGAACGCTTCAGACCAACTGAAACAGGATGTGATAGTAACACCACTGGCTTCACTTCAAAACGTTAGCATTAGCTTGGTTAGCGAGCAACATTTGAACTGGAAACATATCTGAGCGGAATAAAGCATGCTAACACTACAGTGATGCTAGCAGTTAGCGGTGACTATGTTGACAGCACTCTCTTTAGCATTTAGCCCAATATGCTAAAAGATAAACAATTTAGCCTGCTAGTGTCAGTGAGAATGCTACTTAAATCCTAATAAAGATTGTGTTTGATAAATAATTATTTGTTATTAACTCAGTATAGCAAGCTAACCAGGTTCATATTTGTAACATTGTTGAGTTTCAGGCTAACACAGTGAAGCTTTATCATCCATTGTTTCCAGTGCAGTGACTTTAGATAGAACTTTCTGGACCTCCTGCTAGCATCATTTCTCAGAAGCAACCAGCAGAAAGATTGTGGACCTGAGGGATTACATTCATTTGTTGTTGCGAGTGCCAACAGTTGATGCTGCATGCTAATCTTATCCACACAGTCAGATCTGAGGCCACTCTCTTTCTGCTGAGACCAGCCAAACACATCCAAATGCAAATGAGCAGGAACATCCCTGCAGCACTTTGGCTTCCTCGTTTCCAAATTGCTACTTTTGGTTATGACAATACTGAGCTGACACCCATTGTGAAGACTGTTTGAGAAAAAGTTAAAAACATAAATGTTGTCTCACACATGTCTCCTGACTAAATCTGACATGTCATTATTTATTTGCAGTGTAGCTTTAACCATTAAAGTCTACACAGGTCAGTTATCAGAAATCATCCAATTAAAAAATCATCAAATATCCTTCTGTAAATATTTTTACAGAATAAAGTAAATGTTAAGCATACATTTTGGCATTTTATTGTAGATATTACGGTAGATTGGCCTACATGGGAACATTATAGCTTACAAATCTCTACACATTTTCACTCATTCACTATTTGTTTCAATAAACAGTTGTGTGGTGAGGTTCATGAGAACACACAAACATATGCAGAATAAGTTAGGCTACCTGGTTGAAATTTGATTTAGAATTTGAGTCATAAGAAAATTCTCTTTAGATGGATCAGAGATGGCCTCTAAAATGCAACATTAAAAAGAGACTGGCATTTATTTACTGTATTACCTAATGGTGAGTAGGTAAAATGGTGATTCAAAACACTTTCAAATTATTGGAAATTATTGGAAATGAGCACTCCAAAATTAGTAACATCGGTTGCACAAAATTTTAAAAACCACAATAGACAAACAGCAAAATTAATAAACTGGAAAAGTGACCAAAATACAAGAACTCATCACTTTACAGCCAAATCCCATACATTTTAATTTTTCTCTGCAGCTCAGTATGCACCGTGTGTGAGACCTACCCTGGATGATCCCTGAATGTTTTACCATCACACCGTCTTCCCATTGAATCGTCTGTCTGCCCTGTGGGTCTCGGTTTGGTTTGCACGGCCTGGATCTCAAACACATTTATTCAGATTTAGTCGTTAAAGGTTTCATGGTGAATATTGAACTGTACACATGAGGTGACTGCAATGACACTTTCTCTGGTTCATTTTGAGTGAAACAAATAATAAAGATTTTTTTTTAGAAAGCTGGGGTCACTGGTATCATTTAGAATAATGACAGTCTAATTCAAAAAGGTCCTAAAAAGCTGCTGGATGAAGGCCCAAAGCCATTTTTAGGGCCATGTCATAGATTGTTTAACTAAATCCCCCATTAGACTGCAGACAGCTCAAATTCTAACTGTAAAGGAAGAGTTTCATCTTTGAGTTATTGTTAAATTTTACAACCATCAACTCTGGTTCATTTTCAGACTGTAATATTTGAAGGATAAAATGATGCTGAAAGTTTCCTACACCTCCTCCAGGCGCCTTCCGGGGCCCCTGGAGGTCCACATTTGGAGCGCTGCTGCTGGCACAGAGACAGCTTTGTCAGGCTACCACTAAAACTCACCATCAGTGTGTCAGGACCTGCACAGTGTAAGGTGTCCGAGACAAAGGCGGAGATGTGCTGGCTGATCTGAGCTCAGTGTGCTGCTGTCAGGTCTGATGCAGATTAGATGTGAATCAGGGAACATGAGCGGGATCTTTTTTTTTTTCTGGTTCAGCTTCAGTTTCATCTGCCATATTTTATCCTTCAAAAAACACATGAATCAGAGTCCGCTCTGTCATAGGCTGATGATTTCACAACAGGCAAATGCACACTTACCTGTGCACAAGAGGAAACACTTACCTGACCCAGGCCACAACTCATTTAATGAATATAATGATAGAAAATATGTGACAGCTGACTGTTTTGAGGGTAAAGTGGCCATTTGCATTATCTCTATTTAACGCACTTACTGACCAATAGCTACATTATATGACAGCATGACAGCACATTGGCAGGTGTTTTATAAATTTTAGCAGCATCTTAAAGCCACAATTAATTAAATTGTACAGTACAATAACAGTACAAATCATTATCTTTAAGTAATGCATGTATCATGGATTCCAAATTATTAAGTCACTATGACTTTGTGATTAGTTCATCAGGTAAAGGATGTTAATTCATACATGAAATACATTTATGGATTCCTCTTGCATAAAAGTTTTTTACATGGTCTCAGCCTCTGATAAAAAAAACAATAACTTCATATTTCTGTGAGAATAAAGCCAAAGGTATTTTTGACACAGGTTTTGTGTGTGCGCGTGTGTTTGTTTTATTAAGAGCAGTCACTGGAATAAATGTACAAAAATACGGTTGTATCCAAGGTGGTGATACGTTTGGATATGGACAGATACTGTCCTATCCAGAATATTACAGACATGGATCTTTGACAGGTTTTTTATTCATTTGATATGATATACAGATCTGGATTTCCATAAACGTGGATACCATTGGATCTTTCCAGATACAGGTCTTTTTTGTCCAGTAAATTGAGGTTAAACATGCTTGGAAAATAAGGGATAATTTAAGGGAGATTGACATCTATTTACTGTATGTCCTAATCTTGGTGAGAATATTCTTGGAAATTTGTGGAAATGAGGATCCAAGATTAATAATATTAGTTGAAATAAAATCCCAAAACACAAAACACACTTTACAGCTAAACTCCATACACCACACACTGTGTTTCATTTTCTATGCAGCTCAGTATTCACTGTGTGTGTGTGTGTGTGTGTGTGTGAGAGAGAGAGAGAGAGAGAGAGAGAGACTTCCCCCGGATGATTCCTGCATGTTTTACCCAGGGTGCGAACTGCAGGGAGAGCTTAAGAGCTTAATAAGACATGAGCTCCCCTAAAAACACCATTTGCGAAATTTTGGGGGGGTCTCCGACAATACTAATACAACATACTAAAATGCTATTTTTGCCATGCATTTCTATTTTCCTGTACCTGTGGATTATGTGTAAAAGTAGGCTATTATTGATGTATATGTCATTAACTCACTATTAAATATCAAATGTGCTTGCATCTATTGCAAAAAAAAACCCCAAACAAACAAACAAAAACAAGTAAGCTCCCCTAAAAGCCATGATCTAGTTCGCACACTGCTTTTACCATCACACCGTCTTCACATAGAGTCCTTAAACTCCACCCAGTCTGCCCTGTGGGTACCAATTTTAACATTCTCCTCTAATTTATCCATTATGTTGTAAATGTGTCAAAAATACCATTGGAATGTGAAGTTATTATTATTTTTATTAGAGAGGCTGTGCAGCAAATGCATGGTCCTGCAATACACTTTTATACAACTGGAATCAATTTGCTCGCCTATCAATTCATGTATGAATTAACATTGTTTAACTGATGATCTGTTAAGTGTGAACTTATCAGAGGAAACAGAAATCATCATGAGTCAAGCATTAGTTATGATTCGTACCCTTATTATTATTTTTTTATCATCTTTAATCGCGAAATAATTTGAAACTTGTTGAAACTTCACTTAAATTTCGTCTTGTGGAATAATCTCAGGTTTTAAATTACAGCTGCTGTCTTGTTCGACCGGTTTGTTCGGGAGTAACAGTAAAATGTGGCATTTTAAACCAACTCGAAAACCAATCGAAACTGAGACTTTTTCCTGGCTTTGATGAGGAGTTTGTGAATATATCCAGGAGTGGATGCTGCAGTATTTGTGCTGTGCTGTGTGAGACAATGACAGAGGAGAGAGGAGGCTCTCCCTCCGGCCCTGCAGGTAGCCTCTGCTCCTCTGCTGCGCTCCTAATGTGATCCAATGTTCCCGGCGCTGCAGCTGCTAATTCAATTTCTCCACGCTGTCAACACATCTGCAAAATACACAAAAGATTATTTTGCTGGCTTTAAAAAAATGTGTCCCAACGAACATAAAACAGTAATAAAATATTGTCAGCTGGATAATATTAAAAAAAGCCGGCGCTTAAATGTTTCCTGATTAAGAATGAGTTGAACACAAACAGTAACAGTGAGTGTAATCTCTCTCATGAGTTCTAACCGGCACAAGTAGATTTTTAGAACTCTCACATAAAGCTTAAAAAACACAAATAAGCGCCAATTAAAGGAGGGATTTTACTCAGGTTAAATGGATCTATTTTCAAAATAAAAGTCTATTTTTGTGAATCAGCACTTAAACAGATCTCACATAAATAAAAGTAGTAGCAAATGAATGTGGGTGAATACGAAAATAATACAGCAATCTGTTTTTAAGTTGTTGTTTTTTAAACAAAGTCGCTCGTGCAGAGGCCTTTTAGTTTGAGCTTATTTCTAAACGCCGCTCTCAGTGCACAGGAGAGCCGCGTGAGGGGGAATTTTAACATTCAGTGGGATCAGATTTGTTTTTCATTTATTTTAAATCTGATGCACAAATACACAAAAACTACTCTTACATCTATATTGGTGATTTTATAAAATCAGGAATTTGTGTGGATACCACAGACCTCACAGCACCGTGCTGCCTATGTGCTCAAAGGCACAACGGAGCCTTCAACCAGCAACCCGACAACAGAGGAGATTCTTTATTAAGGCTACTGGAGCACAGTAGTGACAGTATGTCACTGTGGTATATGTGGAAGCAGGCACATCCAGTGATCTGCCCTACCTATTATCACTCAATAAATACACGCGCAATCCTGCAGTGCGTCATGCTCTCGTTCACCTGCGGCCACACGGAGCGGCACGCAAAGTAGGGCCACCCAAGGGTCCCCTCAGAGCAGTAACCCATGGCTCACCATAATTAAAATAAGTGAAAATGATCCCACTGAGACAGTGTGAACATCAACACTGTGTGAGTCTCAACCTGATCACTCTTGTGCCAAATGCTGGCTGCTGTAACGCCTGCGGATGTGACAGCGCTGTCCCCTGGGTCGCTATAGCGCCCCCACCTGGCGGTCTACCTGTCAGTGAGACAGATACATGACTATGAGAACAGGAGGGCAGAACAGGCCGGCAGGTAACTGAATGTGAGTGGTTGTAGTTTATGATTGAGTTTGTCATGAAGTTTGTTTTATAGAAGAGCTGTGAGGCATCAGGCATTACTCTGATCCCAAAAAGCATCTGTTTCATTGCATTGTTCCAAATCATATCAAAGTATGGTCCAGTGTGTGTGTGTGTGTGTGTGTGTGTGTGTGTGTGTGTGTGTGTGTGTGTGTGTGTGTGTGTGTGTGTGTGTGTGCTTTTCCTACAAGTGAGAACTGATATGTTTCATTTAGCCGAGTGAGCTGTAGATGAGGAAGTGGAGGAGATGGAGGAGAGGAGGAGGAGGAGGAGGAGGAGGAGGAGGAGGAGGAGGGCTGCTTGGAGCTGTACGAGGAGGAAGAGGGAGTAGAAGGGAAAGAAAAAAGAAGGAGGAGGAGAAGAGGAGGAGAAGAGGAGGAGGAGGAGGAGGAGGAGAGGGCCGCTGGTCGCCGGGTTTCCATGTGACAAGGGGAAATATGAGGGACTTTGACAGGTCTTAAACGGTCTGGCGCCAAGGCCTCAGTCTAGCCGCTAAATATAGCCGGAGAGATGATGCAGGGAGATGGGGAGGAGAAGATGGAGAGATAAAAGGAAGAAAGGAACAATGTCGAGGGGAGGAAGAAAATAACAATACTCGATTATAGACGAATATGGCGCAAAACTGTCCCGTTATGTTGTAATTAGAGCGTCTCTGGCCCGGATCGCTGACACAGGGGCCAAATCAGCGGGACGGAAGACGCTTTTACGCACATTTCCACATCTGCAGCTGTATTGTGTTGTATTGAGCGGACGGATCAAGGGCACAGAAAGGCTTTAGTCAACTTCCTACTGATGGAAAGCGTCATGCACGCAGTGAATTAACTGTAAATACAGCCCCAACTTACAGCGTGACTGACAACTCTGTGTGTCTCAATGTCTCAATTTAAGCCTCCAAACCTGCTTGTGTTGACTCATTTCTGGATATAAGACAATAAAAAAAACTGTCAGTATCATAAGTATCTAAATCACCTGTGCAGGAGACAATTTGGGACCAAAACTTCTTAATTTGCTCCTGTTTTTAAATGTTTACAAACTTTATTTTGCGCATTTTTGCAAGATCTTTTACACACACATTCCCCAGAAATACAAGTCCAATAAGCATTTTTATTGTCTGCCTATATTAATCCCCAACACAGACAGTATGTTAATGTACAGCACAGTCTATGTAGATCTACCAGCAGCTCGGAGCAGTCCTCCCTCGACTTAATGACTTTTAAATCGCGCCTAATGGAGATTTCTGTACCGTTGACGGCACAGAACAAATAAATGGTGACTAATTTGCGCAAGCATTGTTGATACAATTATCCAGTTGAGTATCCCGGCAGAAAAACCGTTATCCACCTCCATATGTTGCTAATCTTTTTTTTTTTTCCTCCCCACTAAAGCTCCTTGCACGCGGCTCCAGCAGTCGCTCCCAGGGCGCTGCTACATCTCTGTCATTTCATAAATCTGAAGGTGCAGCATTCCAAACAAGTCAGCTGTCCGGCCAGATTATAGCACGTACACGCCACACTATAACTCTGGAGAAAACTGCGAAGGCATGTGCGAGACATCCTTGATGATTTTACGTTCTCGCGTGAGGCTGATGCTCGCTGGCATTTATTTTCCAACACCTGGCCGAGTGGAAACGCGCCTTTTCACGTTGTCACCGGCTGTGCTGCGGCGGGACGCTCCGGGGACTCGCACTGAGTCTGATATAATGTGCTCCCCGCGCTTGTGGAAAGCGGCTCCGCGCAGGTACAGTGCGCTCTGGAGCTGCTCCTGTCTGGAGCCGGCTCCGGACTCATGGCTGTATCAATGTGATGGAAGCCGAGCAACAAGTGTGTTACGCGGCGGAGATGTGCAAACATTTCATGCTCTTAAATCACATAACATGCTGTGTCCGACGCACAGGTGGCTGCTCAACCCTCTGCAGTTAAAGATATGAAAGAATTTTGCAGCTTTCAGTTTGGTTCCTGCAGATTAGGAGATAAATTAGGTGACGTGATAATAATAAAGGTTTATAAATATTATTCTAGACATTTTTATGGCCAGTAAGAGTTTTGTGTGGCTGTCAGCGGAAGCCGCAGACACGCGGCTGAGTTCCAGGGGTTAATAGGAAATGCGCAGTTGTCTCTGACAGTCTCATTCAGGAGGATTATCACTTTTTGTTTCAGTTTTATGTCGCCTGTGGCCCTCATCACATCACCGTCCTCCCTGCCCGGAGAGAGCAGCTGTTTATCCAAAAAGGGAAAAAAAAGAATCACATCTGACACCAAGTCATGACCGAGGCAGAAAAGTGGAGCGGAGGCGCAGATGCTTGCAGAGGGGGGGGGGGGGGCACATGCAGGACTTCAGGGTAAATATAAAGAGACAAGAGATTGTTCTTATTGTGGATCATCGGCCGACTGGCGCCGAGCGGCTCTTTAACAAAACCGAGGCCGAGTTAATCAGGAGAGCTGCGTTCTTCTGAAGGCAGCAGAGCGAAGTGCATGGGGAGGCCGGTGGGGGTGGGGACCGTGGGGGCCGTGGCTCCCGGAGCCCCGCACTGTCCTTGGTTTGACAAAATACAACCTGTCGGAGATTACACGCAAGCGCGGCCTGCCCTCAGCCCTGAGACTGAGCACTAAATCATCTCATCGCTGCAACTGTTTGATGTGGAAACACACAAAATCAGCACACAGCAGCACGAATAACGCCCCAGTAATAATAATCATCATTTACAAATAAAAATCTAAATATGCCAGAGAGGCTGCAGGGAATGCAACTTTATTTGGAAGAAGGAAGAGTTTAGTGAGCACTCACCGCTTTGCTTCTCTCTGATTTTTCTCTCAAAAATTCATTCATCACCCTTCATCTGGTTTCCTCTTTTTTTTCCTCCACGCAGCATCTGGGTTTGTCTTTTCCAGCCTCGTCTCTTTATTGCGCCGCTGCGGCTGCTGCTGCCTCCCCGTCAGCCCGATCAGGAAAACCAACAGATAAATGGCTCTCGCCTGGGGAAGCCCGGGCTGTATGAGGCTGGAGTCAGTGCGCGCACACAGCTAACATAGCCTGGGCTAGTAGTGTGTGGGGCAAATCCAGCCTAAGCGTCAAAACAGCCGATAACATGGAATAATTACAAGTCTGTTATTATAGAGAGCGACCGAGAGCTGCAGCTCTTTGAAATAAATCTCTCCGGAATGCAGAGCGTGAGCTGCGAGTCGTGGGTTTACTGTTGGGAGTTGCTCTGTGGCAAACGTTGGAGAGCTGTTCCTCTGTACTAAGGTGAGTATTGAGACAGTGAGTCTGTGGACAGGTTGCTTTCTCCGGAGGCGACATTGTAAAAACGCAAGCCGAGAGAGGTGATGCCTCCACCGGCCAAGAACTGAGGGCTGACCCGGTGCTTGGCTTGGAAATGGGGGTGGGATTTCCCGATCTTTCCTGTCATTGGTTAATATTTTATTCTGTTGACATGTTTTCTTACTGCTAATGCTTCCGACACCTTCTTGTCCACCCCCTCCTCTCTCCTAGAGTCTGGCCGGAGCTGTCAGAACCACGCCTATAGGGGCCCACAATTGGTCCAGAAAGCGTAAAATCAGCAATCAAAGGGGCTTGGTTCATTAGTGTTGGGGATGGAGACAGGAAGGACATGTGAGATAGTCACAGATCTGCAGTGAACGGGGCCACATCTCTCCAGTCAGTGTGGGATGACTGAAGCAGAGGAACTGCTCTGAGAGGCACTACAGCGCACCCGGGCTCTGCCTTCACAGCGCCGCTTCTACTGAAGGACTCGGCGGAGGAAGCAAAAAGGAAAAGCACACATCAACAGCAACTCTGGGCTATTTTCTTCACCCTGATAACGCGCCGTGAGTCTGACAGGGCGCCGCGCTCTTCTGTACCGCTTTACAGAAATTAACTGCTCGCGAAGCCGCGGACCTACACTGGCTATCTGAGGGGGAAATACCACTAAAAACATCCATTATTTCACTTCGGTTTTTGTGGATGCACCGATGAGAGATCCAGTTTTTACAGGGACTGCAATGGCTTATCACCCTTTCCACGCACACCGGCCGACCGACTTCCCCATGTCCGCCTTTCTAGCGGCCGCGCAGCCTTCCTTCTTCCCGGCGCTCAGCCTGCCTCCCGGGGCGCTCACCAAGCCCATCCCGGACCACGGCCTGGCCGGGGCGGCGGAGGCTGGGCTCCACCCGGCCCTCAGCCACCATCAGGCGGCTCACCTCCGCAGCATGAAGAGCCTGGAGCCGGAGGAGGAAGTGGACGACGACCCTAAAGTTACACTGGAAGCCAAGGATCTTTGGGACCAGTTTCATAAACTCGGGACGGAGATGGTTATTACCAAGTCCGGAAGGTAAGAATGCTCACAACTATAATCCCCCTCATGGATATACCGAGAATACTTTATTTTTATTTTTAAAACCGGCAGTTGGTCTGTGTATGTGCAGAATGAGACAGTTAAGAGCCGATAAAAAGCCATTTATTCACGTTACTAAACGGCAGCCTGTTCCCCAGGCCTTTGGTAGTCGGCATTTATTTCCACACCGATTGTCAGCCTGTTCCGCGATTCATAAAAATACACAAGAAAATGAGATCACACTACGAGAAAATATCCAGTTTACCTCGCATTATACATTAAATATATAGTTTTTAAATGGAGTTCCTGTTCTACGGCTGTTCGTGCACAATTTGAGGTAAACTAGCTTCATTTCTCAAAGAAAGTAACTTAATGAAACGTCAGCTTTATTATTAAATATTTATAATACATTTCGAGACTGATCAAAGTAGCTACATATTTGGGATATTTTGGAGGGGAATGTGGCCTGAGCTTTAATCAGGTTTTATCTCCCAAACTGCAGAGCTTCTGGATTTTATAAACAGGCTGTCACTTCAAAAAGCAGGGACGTGAAGTGGTGTGGTCATAAATATACTGCTCAGCTTTGTAGTGCAGGGCTTGGACAACACACACACACACACACACACACACACACACACACACAGGAGGACACACACACACACACACACACACACACACACACTATGGTTTTGCCTAATTGAGTGCAATATCTGACAATTACAATATTTCCTCCCGTCAGAGCGCAGCGTTCTCTCCTTCAATGCCTCTTTTGTCACATTTGTTCGAGTCCCGTGTGATAATCTGATGTTGTGTTTTGGTTGAATCACGGCGTGTTGACTCCCTCTGTGTGTGTATGTGTGTGTTTTCTCTCCCCGCAGGAGGATGTTCCCCCCGTTCAAAGTGCGAATAAACGGCCTGGATAAAAAAGCCAAATACATCCTGCTGATGGACATCGTGGCGGCGGACGACTGCCGCTACAAGTTCCACAACTCCCGCTGGATGGTGGCGGGCAAGGCCGACCCGGAGATGCCCAAGAGGATGTACATCCACCCGGACAGCCCGGCCACCGGCGAGCAGTGGATGGCCAAGCCTGTTGCTTTCCATAAACTCAAGCTGACCAACAACATCTCAGACAAACACGGATTTGTAAGTACACTGAGTTTGTTTTTTTTCTCGCTTGAGCAGAGGCATTTTTCACAGGCATGCTGTGTGAGGTGTTGGAAGAGAGCGGGGCAGAGCGGTTTTTAGGCGTTTTTGAAATCAGATAAAATTTTAATGAAGCAACATAGGAAAAGTGGGTCACTGTAAAAGCAAAATAATAATAAGAAACAGGCAGGAGAAATAGAAATTTTTAAAAAAAAAATGCTGAATTCAAAACCACTGCAGAGAAATTATATAGCCTAGTGATTTTATTCCCACAAAGGAGCACATTTAAAATATAAGTGCGGAAAATTGCGTTTAAATTCATGCTGTTGAACGTCTTTACGTCCAAAGCTGTTGACACTTTGTCGCCACTTGACTTCCCACCGCCGCTGACAAACACACAGCTTATGTTTCCCTGCAGCTCCCCACAATATTATCAGCCTGCGCTTCCTTTTCTCCTCCCGCATCCATAATGTTAGACCCAAACACAGCCCCAGCTCTGTGCAGCAGCTCAGGACCTGTAGACCCGTTCATTTCTAACCGAGCTTTTATTGGGAATAGATAAAAAAAAACATAATATGTGAGCTGTAAGTGGTGTATCACCAAATCGGGTCAGAGAGGAATGACGTTAAATGAGCTTGAATGGCCGCAGCCTGTAACCTGATAGTATACTGTAGTATAGTATAGTAGCCTATAGTATAGTATAGTATAGGTTTGTGGTGTTGTTGTGTATATTGAGTCTATAATGTTCTATGGACCAGGGGCGTATCTACAGATATATTCATAGGGTGGCCAGAGAGTGGCATGGATTTCTTAAGGGGTGGCAAACAATAACATATAATAATATTTGCTTGGAAAAATGTCTAATTGAGCTCAAAAACATTACATTCTTGTGGCACATTGCATAGAAATATCTAAATGTGGCAATAGAAATCCACAAATTGTTTATTTCTGTTTTGTTTTACCAAATACATGTGATTTCTAATTTACCCTAGCCTTATCACTTAGTCTAAAATGTGGCCATAACACATCATAAAATTAATTTGAGTTTTAACACCTTATTTTATTTTTTTTAAATGAATCTAAATGAATGTGTTAAATTTGCCAGCTGCTTTGGACTGGTGCTGTGGTGTCTGTATAGGCTACAAGATATATATTTTATTTTTTTTTTTTTACCATGTACTTCATATTATTTTACTGGTGCAGTAATAATATGCAGGAGGGCTAAAAATAATCGGAGCAAATGATAAATGTCTGAGAAAGTCCTTCTGACTGGCAGGCAGTGTGCTTCCGCCTGGAAACAAATTCAACATTTACATGTCAGTCTAAATTTGCAATCGGTTACACGCAGGATTTCTTTTCATGCTGCCTGCAGGTCTTTATTTACACATCATGTTGAGAAGTTAATGTCTCAATATTTATTTTTTCATCTAGGATTTAACAGCGTTTGGTTTATATTTGTATTTCTGGATTATTTTTCAGAATTTTGAAAATATATTTAATGTTCATATTCTGTGTTGCTCTGTGTGTCAGAGCCTCCAGGCTTGTAAAGTGTCTGTACTTGGTGGTACACTTAAAATCAATGAAATTTGTTGCTTTTATCCGGATAGAAACTGGATCAAATCACTTCTTTTTTTTTTTTTTTTTTTTTTTTTTGCTGTGGTTCTGAGTGCTCATGACAACATGTGTGGCCTGGTCAGGTTTTTCCCTTTTGCCCCCGCACTAATTACAGACAAGCCTGCTCACACAGTAATTATAACAGCATCAATAACAATGCGCCGGATGATCCGCCGTCAACATACTCCGGTTTAATATGGAGGGGAAAAAACATCAAAGAGAGACATAAAATGCTGTGATATTCACTCCAAAAGCTGTGTGTGTTTGTGTGCGTTGGTCCAGACAATCCTGAACTCCATGCACAAGTACCAGCCCAGGTTCCACATAGTGCGGGCCAACGACATCCTCAAGCTCCCCTACAGCACCTTCAGGACCTACGTCTTCCCGGAGACCGAGTTCGTGGCCGTGACGGCCTACCAGAACGACAAGGTGAGCCACCGTGAACACTGGGCCAACCGCCTCTAATATGGCTGCTATACTTTGCATAATAAATGTTGTACATGCGTCCCCCCTCCCCCCACCACCAACCCCCGAAGACTTAATCTGATTTTGTAGGTCGCCTAATTTCCCCGCAGAGGACTCCCATGCCCCCACTTGATTTTTTTTTTTAATTGCTGTTTTGCCTGCACTCGCGGGTGTGAGCAGATATTTCTGACTGTGAATTCAAATGCGACTTAAAGTGGTGCGCGTTATCAGCAATTCATGGGCTGTAAACGGGCTGTTACCTTGAGCACAAGTGAATACATTAGGCGTATCAATGTGGAGAGTGTGTTGTGTTTTGTTGTGATGGAGCGTCCAACATGGCAGCCATGTCCTCTTGTTTTATTTGAGTTGTAATCTTCCTAAAAACCCACCCTAGAAAGTTCAGGTTTTTTTGGGTTTAAGAATATTTGTTTTATAAATCGAGCATTTTTTAAATGAGGTTTTGTATGTGTGTGTTTTTGTTGGCGTTATTCTAAGGCCCCTTCGCTGAGCCTCCGTCCTCCTCCATGAGGCTAATTGGAGCTCGTGTCTAGGGGTTGGGGCTGAGGGGGTGAGGAGGGGGTCTTGTTGTAAAAGTTTATGGCTAAAGAGTCACCATCGATTAGAGAGCATTTAAAAAGGCTGGTCACCCTGCAGCCACAGTGGACAGATGCTGTAAGACACTCTCTCTGCTCAGATAGCCAGCGCCTGGAGCGTCCTGTACAAGGGCCACATTATAGGGGCCTCCAGTAGCTCCTGAGCCACGCAGGCCTCTGCCGGCTCTGCGCCCGTATACGTGCAGCCACACCGGCCCTCCTCTACGATCAGGAGGAGGCAGCAGTGATCCAAACCGCATTATTAATTATTGATATGATAGTCATCTGTTCCCGTATTGCTCCCTCTGTTTTTCTTTTTTTCCGGGGGGGAACAGAGGCTTGTGTGGCCCCATAGAGGAATATTTCGTGGCAGAATTTCTCTCCAGGGGCCTATGAGAATAACGCCCCATCATTACGCTTTTATTAATAATGCAAATCCGAGGCCCAACATGGCTCCAGTCCAACACTGGTTTCTGTGTGTGTTAATCCGAACACGTTGTTGGCCCAAATGTGGGCCAGGTGAAGACAATGGGCTCCAACAGTGTGTGTGTGTGTGTGTGTGTGTGTGTGTGTGTGTGTGTGTGTGTGTGTGTGTGTGTGTGTGTACCTCTGGTTCCATTCCTCTAATTGTTTATTCAAACTTTTTTTGACAGATAACGCAGCTGAAGATTGACAACAACCCTTTTGCCAAAGGATTCAGAGACACAGGGAACGGGAGGAGAGAGAAAAGGTATGTAACTGCCGCCCAACACCTGTGTGTGTGTGTGTGTGTGTGTGTGTGTTTGTGTGTGTGTGTTTGTGTTTGTGTGTGTGTGTCCCCACCATCTTTGTATTCTGCAAGGTCGTGGTGTCCCAAATCCCTACTTATTATTATTATTATTATTATTATTATTATTATTATTATTAATGGGCTATTATTACTTTTGACAGGAAACAGCTGACCATGCCGTCGCTGCGGATGTATGAGGACCAGTGCAAGGCGGACCGGGAGGGCGCGGACTCGGACGCCTCGTCCAGTGAGCCTACGGCCGGCAGGGACGCCGTCCACTCCCCGCTGGGAGCCGGTTCCAGCCCTCTGAGGTTCAGCAGGCCCAGCCGAGGTAAGAATAGTTTGTTTTTATTTGTGGGCCCGTACACTGCGGCGTGAGGTAACGGGATACAGGGTGGAATCCAGCTGTTGTCGTAATAATTTAGGACTTTAATTTAAAATTATGTTAAATTGGCTAGAATATGAATGCAGTTTGGTGGAGCAAGGTGAGGAAAATCGGTAATTGTCGTGCAATATAATAATTTTTTTAATGACTTTAAGGCCTGTGTGATAACTTGGATTTAGGTGCATTTTGGCGGGTTAACATCTGTATGTAAAACTGTGTGTGCACAGTAAGATCAGACTGAATTTGGACTTTATTATATTCACATTTGAATTAAAATGGACATTTGAGTTCAGTTTATTTCTAAAATAAATGTCTTATCTAGTTTTGTTTTTATTTGGTCTGATCCCATTCTTTTACTTCCCTTCATTTACTAAACTAATTTATTTAACAAAGCCAACATTACGTTCAATGAGGCCTGTTATTAATATAAATGTGTGGATGTTTTTGATGTTTGCATACTCAAAAGCTATACATAGTCTGAGAAATTATACAAAGGCTGTTGTTTGCTGCTCTTGAATATCAAATACATTTAAACTAGAGGCCACAGTGTTAATTTCTTAATGAGGACTGCATGCAGGGTGGATTTGGAGTCTTTGAGGCTCCCACCAAGCTTATGTTGCCATTCCAGCATGTGTGTGTGTGTGTGTGTGTGTGTGTGTGTGTGTGTGTGTGTGTGTGTGGAGAGAGAGAGACGACTGTGGACGAGGTTGGAGATAAATGGTTGGACACTCTGCTTACAACTCTTTTCCGATCCCCGTGTTGCAGATGACAAAACATGCACTGACAGTGAGCAGGAGCTGGAGCATCACGACGAGCTCTGCGCTGGCTCCAGCAGCCCAGGACCTGAGCCTGTGTCCCCCTACAGCTCTAGGTGCGAGGAGCGTGTGAGGGACAGGTCTAGCACGGAAAAGAAGGACGACTCCGTATTCAGTATAAGGAACCTTGAGAAGGACAAAGCGGAGAGCAGGCACAGGAAGGACAACACGGACGCGTCGACAAAGGACTCTGAGGCCGGAGGCATCAGTGCCAGCAAGGAGGCCTTCTCCCCTCTCATGGTCCAGACCGAGAGCCCCTCGCACTTCAGTCCGGGCCACTTACAAAGCCTGGCTCTGTCTGGCCTGCACAGTCAGCAGTTCTTTAACCCTCTGAACGCCGGATCGCCGCTGTTGTTTCACCCCGGGCAGTTTGCCATGGCCCCCGGAGCCTTTTCTGCTATGGGAATGGGGCATCTATTGGCCTCTGTATCCGGAGCAAGTGGTTTGGAGAACGGCAGCCTCTCCGCCCAGGGCACGGGAGGAACCCCCAACCCCTTCCCCTTCCATCTGTCCCAGCACATGCTCGCCTCTCAGGTAAGGAAGCCCAGAGAATGATCTAGTTTGCATGCACACCTGTAACACTGATCTGACGTCAACGGGACAGGAAGGCTGGAGCTTTGGGTTGTAGACAGACAGGATTAGTTTGACCTTCTGTTCATTTGAGTGCAATCGACGTTGCATGAGAACATGTTTGACCATTGTGAAAGTATTTGAGGATTTGATAACAATTCATTTTTCAAACAGGCTCCTGTAATAATCATTTTTCTTTATATAAAACACTTGTTGCTCGGTATCAGATCTGTTTGATATTTTCATGGAAATCTGTTTTAAATCATCTGAAGGAACTAAACTGTTTGGGAAAATGTGCCATTAATTTGATTATCTGACCACTTGACTGGAAATAGTAACTCTTTCCTCTTCCATATTGCAGGGCATCCCCATGCCTCCATTTGGCGGTCTCTTCCCATACCCCTACACCTACATGGCGGCGGCTGCAGCGGCTGCTTCAGCCTCTGCCCTCCCAGCCACCAGCACCTCCAGCCCGCTCTCCAGGAACCCCTTCTTGAGCTCATCCCGGCCCAGGCTCCGCTTCAACCCCTACCAGCTCCCGGTGTCGCTGTCCCAGAGCTCCAGCCTGCTCACCACCAGCCTGCAGGGCGGCCTCAACAACCCGGGCTCTGAATCCTCCAAACCAGGCAGCAGGGAGACGAGCCCGGCCCCAGAGCACCACAGCAACCTCAAGACAGGAGGGTCAAGCGGGAGGACCGCATCGCCCAAAACCTCCATGAAGGACTCGGTGAACGAGCTGCAGAGCATCCAGAGACTGGTGAGCGGCCTGGAGGGCCAGCGGGAGCCCTCCCCGACCGCAGACTCTCCCAAGTGATGAAGACTATCTGTTTGGGATGAAGACTTAACCAGAGGACTATAAGTGCATATGTCCTGTACAGCACATTGTGGAGACTGGGATGAGGGTTGGACCGATATGGGTCGGTGAAGGCCGATAACTGGTGTTTTTCGGAACAAAGCTGCAGATAGAAATTCAATCCGTAAGATTGAATTGAATCTTTTGTTAAATTCAAAGTACTGAGGACCTGTGGAAACATTTCAACCATCATCAGACCCCAAAACTGTCCCCTGATTCCCTGAGCTTTAGGGTTAGCAGGCAGGCCCATGGAAACTCTGGGATACATTTCTACACTGATAGAATAAAAATACAAAATTAGCAATTCAATATATAAAATAAAATAAAAAAACACTAAACTAATGATAAAATATTTCAAATCTGACCACTTCATCAGAGAGTAACACTGATCAGCTCAACTACAGAAATATAATCAAACTTTATCATATCCATTGTAAGAGAGGTGGACCACACAGGGCCAGTATCGGCCCCATATATCGGTCTATAACCTGCCTGCTGAGGGCCTGCAGCTCCACAGACTGAGCGGCGCACAGTGGAGAGAGAGTGTGTGTTGTTAACGTGAAGCATTTGAGCATCCAGGACCCGGTTTTGAAAGAGTCCCCCGAACAGGAGCCTCATCACGCCGACAGGCAGGTCTCTCAAGCTGCATCCAAAAAGCTTTTTTTTGACCAGGCCTGATTATTTCAAAAGGCATGGAAGGTGAACGAACACAGTTAGAACCGATTATCATTTCATGCCAGAAAAAAAAAATGTTTCTGAACTATTTATGTAATTAAAAATTAAAAAAACAAAATCTGTAAATAAAGCTAAGATCCAAGAATATGCAATTGGTATTAATTTATTCAAGGCTGTATATTAAGCGTGTATATATTTTGAATTTAAACGTTGCTTTTTCCCACCCTCTTCGTCTTCTTCTCCCCCCCTCCCGTTTTACATGAACATATACTGTAAATGAAAAGCTATTTAGCGCTTGTTGGTTTGAGAAAAAGAAAAAAACAACTGTGTATGAAGCATCGCTGATTTCTAGAAGACGTGTGTGCCATGTTTTAGTCTGCATCCACCGACAAATACAGAGAGAGAGACAGAGAGAGACAGAGAGAGACAGAGAGACAGAGAGAGCTCCACATGGATTCAAAAACACCTCAGGTTATTTCACTCCAGCCAGGAGACGTTCGAAGCAATTCCTCCAACGGGCGCATCATTCATATCTATTCATAAATATATTTAAAGATGAAAGTATCTTGTTTATGCTGGTTGTCCGGGTTTTTTTTTTTTTTTTTTTTGATTGTCTCACAATTTCAATAAAAAATCGTTGTGCTGAAATCTTGCAATTGCATTATTATTATTATTATTATTATTATTATTATTATTATTACGTGCTTATCATTATAATAATCTAGTAGAAATGTATTGAGATCTTTTGATGAAGTATGGTTTAACACACACACGCACACACACATATAGGCTACACACGGGGCAGGAGCGCCATCTGTCGGCCAAATGTCTCCCAGGAAGAAGGGCAGCTTCCTTTTGCATGTGGTTTGTTGAATTTGATAAGAAAATGTCACTGGCTTTAATTCACGTGTTATTAAAACGACATTTAAATCAGACGGTTCAATGTGTGGGTTAAATTTGTTTTGTGAACATTTTGCATAAAAGCTGTGCATATTAAATTATAATAATGCATTTAAAAAACATCTTAGCCTTTAATTGATCAATACAATTAAAGACGCAGAAGTTTTTCTATTATTATTATTATAATTTTCTATTATTTTGTATACATATATTTAGCAGCAGTGTGTGTATTCATTGTTATTCCCGGGTCTGTCCCCTGCACGCACCGCCGTCCAGCTCTATTCCGAGCAGGTCCTCAGTCACCGTCAATCAGCATTTCCTTTACTATTGTGTGGCCGGCTGTATTTTTAGAAAGAGTCGAGTAATGTAAGTATTTATAGGAAGAGCTTTCTCTGCTGCACACACACACACACACACACACACACACACACACACACACACACACACACACACACACACACACAGTCCTCTGCAGCCTGACGCACACTTTAACTGTTTGAACTCGGCTGGTGGCGTGGCAAAATCCTCATTAAATATGTTTTATGTAATTATATTAAATGTATGTACATATAGAAATAGAAATGTATTTATGTGAACTAATGTGAATGTTGTGGCCTTTAATAAGATAAATATGTCATGTGTTCATATATATAATAATGCCATTTTTGTGGATTTTCCTCATATTGTTCCTGCTGTTTAAAGCATTTATCTTCAGTGTTTGGAAGTCAAACTGTGGACCCCTGAGTGTGTGTGTGTGTGTGTGTGTGTGTGTGTGTGTGTGTGTGTGTGTGTGTGTGAGAGAGAGAGAGAGAGAGAGAGAGAGAGAGAGAGAGAGAGAGAGAGAGAGAGCATGATGCAGCGGCACTGTGTGTGTGACTGTGAGTGTGTGTCTCGGTTTAAAGGGTTAAGCAGGGGGAGTTTAGGGCAGCAGACAGCCTTTTGTCCGGGACCCGGCGCCTGTCGCCTGCCTGCCGGCCACAGCCTCCAACACCGCCCCGCTTCCTAATTAGAGAACCCCCCTCCTCCCCTTCTCTCCTCCTCCTCCTCCTCCCCCCTACTTCATTTTCTTTTCTTTCTGCAGCAAAACTCTCATTCTGGCCACGGAGGCCATTGTTGCCACTCTGTTATCTTCAATTAGCAGCGAGGGCGGCTCGACCTCGCACTCTGGGAGAAAAAAGTATTTGTCTAAATCAATCAGTCAATGAGTGATCAATAGGCTCCTGTGGAGGCCCCGTGGATCATAACTAATGGCTGCTGACGGCGTGGGGTAAAAAGGCCAAGATTATTCACAACCCTGTGCAGTGATCAGTGTAGGGCCTATGTTGTTATTTAAGCTTTTGTAGGCCAACAGGAGGTACACAGTTGTGTGAGCACAGGAGACAAACAGCACCTTTGCTGGTTTTTAGTGAGAGGCCTGGATGACATGACAGAGGGCTGACCTTCACTTTCTGGCTCCTTATCTGCAGCAGATATTTCAGTCTCACATTACACAGATATCCGACAGCCTTAAAGGTTTATACTTGTTCTCTTTTTATTTCTACTCATTCATGTGATTAAAAAACGTTGCAATATGTTCGGTGTCAGATTCAGTATTCTAGTTACAAATGCACATGGTTTGGTTACAAGGTATTTCATTTAGTGGAGGAAAAGTAACTTGACTTCTACTTAGGGATAATTTTGTGGCACTTTTACTTTACTTTTTCCAACATTCTGTCAATTTTCTTTTAATATATATTTTACTCCACTATATCTATTATTATATTTATTAGAGTTATTCTACACAGGAGCAGATCTTGAGAATTATATTCTGATTAAACAATCACATATTTGCTTGGAGAAATCAATCAATTGTTTTATTTTCAAATCTTCAGACAATTTTCCAAATACATGTCTTTTTGCCCATCACTTAGTATAAAATGTGGCCATAACAAATCATTCATTTAATTTTTGTTTTAAAAACGAATGTGTTTAAATTTGACACCAAACATATATTTAACATAAAGAGTATGATTGGCTTAAAAACTACAGGGCTTTGTTAAAGAATAAAATACACAAACATGTGTAAAATAGTTAAAATGACAGCACCAGCTGTACACATATTAATGCATCAGTAATAATATAATAATAATATAATGTGAACACTGTGAGGCCTATAACCTGCAGAATGAGTACTTTTCCTGTAAACATTTTGCTGATAAAACTTATACTTAAACATAAGTATAAAATATAAAATATTTTAAATGTCTTTTACTTGTAATGAGGTATTTCACATTTATTTTACTTGAATAAAAGACTATAAATAAAATTCCTCTACTACAGATGAAAATGATATGTAACTGAGTAAAATAAGTTTATTAAAAATCTCTTAAAAATAAGACAACTTCAGGTGGAATAATAAATTATCATGGGAACCTGACCATTTTTTCTAATGATATATCACATAAAGCTGTTGATTTATATGTGAGATGATAATAAAGTGGTAGGATGGGGAAGGAAAAGGCTGTACCAGGCTCATAAACCTCCCTCTGATCCCTGCAGACACTGACTGATTTGGTGTTTGAAGGTTGAGACTGATGTGTTTTAATTGTGAAGCACCCAGAAGCCAATATTTTATTTCAAAAATACTAAAATATCTTTTTTTTTTTTTTTTTTTTTTTTGCCTTTTCAAGCTGCAAAATAAACCTTAAATAGCATTTTAGACTGTGGGGAAAAAATCTCTAATATCTAATTTCATGACATTAAAGTTGCATCAAACTGACTGGATGCTGTCTGTCTGTGAAAGAAGGGCCAGTATCGGTGCAGTATATCGGTCTGACAGTGCTGGGAAGCAGCCCAGAGACCTGTATGGTGTCTACAGAGTGTGTATTGTTATGCTGCCGCTCTGCAGGGCTGCTCTCTGACAGCGCAGGCGGACTATTGGCTGCCTGGCTCAGGTGCAGCCACCGCACTGGTCCAAAGTGGAGCAGGAGGGGTCCAATCACAGGCCACTTTTCTCGGCAGGGAGGAGGAGGAGGAGGAGGAGGAGGAGGAGGAGGGAGCAGAGCCTCACTGCAACACTTCCACCAGCCAATATCTCACACACAAACACACACAAAGGTGGAAAGCACAAATGCAAAGTTTTTATTTTATTCACCGGTGAAGTGAAGGCAAGCATGCAGATTGCTTTGAATTAACTCCAATCATCAGTGCAAAAGATCCATTAAAAACACCTAATAAACACACCTATAAAATGCACTTATAATAGAGTACAGGCAGAACACACAGGCCACCAGAGCTGTAGGATGTATAGAATGAAGGAGGGGAATCATGCAGTAAGCAGACAATATTAGTAGAATTTACCATAAAAAGTGACTTTATAGAAACTCTGCAATCACATTCAGCTGTCAGGGATGGTGGCGCTTTTAAGGCAGGCAACACGACACATGCAACAAGTCATGACTGAGTGTGCCTGTGTGTGTGTGTGTGTGTGTGTGTGTGTGTGTGTGTGTGTGTGTGTTCATGGCTGCTGCTTTTTGGATAGTGAGGGACTGCATTACCACAGCACGCAGGCCTGCCGCCCCCTCCTGGACACCGAGGAAGGAGAAGACTGAAAGAGTTCACTGAAGAGTTCACTCTGGTATTTATAATGACAAATCCACTGCACAGCTTTCATTTTTAATTACACTTCATTCAGAGTTCAGTCAGTTTGTTGTGTCCGTGATGTTTTTTTGCTCTTGCAGACACAGGACCAGTGTCTTCTAAATAATGCCAATACTGTAACCTTTAAAGTAACGTGACACCTGTTGACTGACACAGCCAGTGTGTTGCTGAAGGTTTCTGTATATATACATTATGTTATAGCTGTCAGTTTACCTTCCCAAGTGCTATTTCTCCATAAATTTGGATTACAGGGCCTCAACTTTTTAAAAATCATTGATTTATTCAGTGTTGTCCAGTTATTTACTTATTCCTGTTCAGGGGCAACAGGAGTCAGATCCTGTCCCAGAATGCACTGTGCAAGGCCTAGCTCAGGTTAACAGCTTGTGATTCATTCATTTTTTCGTTATGTTTACACATTCTACCCATATACAGCCCATTTCAATTTTTTTATGTATATATATCAGCGTAGGTCAGTGGTTGTCAAACTTTTTATGGTGCGCCCCCTTTCAGAAGCCAAAAAAAAGTTCATCCCGCACAATCTTTATCAAGCATTAACAATGATAGGGGAAGTAACAAAAAAAATGGATCAAAGTTAAATTTGAGTGAAATAAATGTCAGAAAACATAAGCATAAATCATATTCATTAAACCTTTCACTCATTTTTCCACCCTGGAATAGTGCATGAAACAGCTGACCCCTGCAGTGGCGCCCACAGTCTGAGAAAAGCTATGTAGGCTGATGATGTATCTATACAGTATGTCTCCCAGCACTGGCAGATGGTCACATCTCAAACAATGCTGCTTCCAAAACAAACACTAGGTGGCACACTTACTCACTTTACAAGAATCACCATTGCGTCATCACTGTATGCAAGCAGTAATGCATGAACATGTATTAAAGGAGAACAAACTACAGCAAACACTACTTATGATCATCACACTGCAATTACAGATCATATTGGTGGTGTTATAACTTTAATTTTGGAAGACTGAATCAATATTTATACTCAAGTCTAAGCTCAAGATTTTAGGAAACACACACACACACACACACACACACACACACACACACACCTCCCTCATATGTAATGATGCTTATATTAAGTTCTAAATTGTGGATATCGGCATCCTATGGACATTAAAAAGTCAGGGATGAACATTTTAAAATTTGAAATTAATACAATAAATTCATTTAGACTGGAAATCTTAAAAAACAATAATAATTTTAACACTTTTAACAACATACATAATACATTGCTAAAAAAAATACTGTCAAAATGAAGTACATTTTAAGGAAGACATTTATAAACATGAGCACAGTTTCAGTTACTTGGAAGTAAATGAAGGATACAAATCAAACCTTTAAAAACTCACTTCTCAAACCACTGTCACACTAC